GGGGGGGATGGGGATGTCCTCTACTTAGTTCTGGGGGTTGGTGAAAGTCTCTCCGTGGGGCGGAGGACGGCTGGTGTGGAGGAAAAGACTGTGGTCGCTGGATATGACCGCCAATAACCAATTTATCAGCTTTGAAGCTCACCTGCCGTCTCTGCCTCTTCGCCTCTTTGAAAATGGGAAACAGGGCACGGCGTCGTTCATTTATTTCAGCTGGAAACTGTTCATTTACGCTACCCTAGCAGTTTCTTGGGGGCAGCGCCGAGACTCTTTTCACGATCCTTTCGGTGGGTGAAAACGGCCACGATTGAACGCGGTTTCCCGCCTCGTCTCCTCCTTAGCCGATGCACTACTTGGAAGTTTATTTCCGCATCAATTTCAAGTTCCTCACGAATAAAAGTTTTAACAACTGTTTCTGTGTCTTCATTCAGGTCACCAGGATCCTGGATACCACCAATTAACAGGTTGTTACGCATGGATCTTGTCTGAGTTTCTAGCATTTTTTCATTAAGATCGCCGTACGCTTGACGAGCCATGACCCGCTCACCCTCAACTTTCTCTATACGTTCTTCCAGAATAGTTTGGTCCAATTCCGCCCCGTGTATTTTCTCGACATGTATACCGAGCTCTATTTTAACTTCAGATAGTTCACTATCGATTTTACCAATTTTTTGTACGATGGTGTTCAGCCTTTGAACGATAGTATCTAAAATGTCAAGCTTTCCTAGTTTGCGGTATATATCATTAATGACAGATTCCATAGTCGTAGGTATGGTCGGGGAAGGCAAGGAATTCGATTGGCTAGTTTGGTGGAATGAATGTGGTGTGTAATAACATGGTTCCGGTGATCCCTGTAAATTAGCCGGAGGAGGTGGAAGAGGAGGAACGGGCGAGGTTGGGGTACCGTAAATATCACCGTGAGCGCTCGCCAATATAACACTGGTGGTCCCGACGGGTGGCTGTCCCGGTATCGATGTACCTGTGCCAGGTGTAAAGTACATTTCATTACCTGTCCGGGTCACGGTTGATTGCTTGTGAGGCGTCGATGACAATTTACGTTTCTTGGACTTTTTCCCTATATACGACTCTTAAAGTCAAGAATTACACCACATCTGTTACATTAAGCCTAATCCTCTTGAACTGTATATAAAATGTTCACCTGAATCCCAACAGAGGCCGTTTAAACCTTCATAGAGTCGGAGCCTTCATCGCGCACCTGTACTCACTCAGCCATGTTTTCTCGCTCTACTCACAGGGGTCTTTTGTGCGAATGTGGACGATCTCACACGGGACACCATTTTATATGAGGGACACAATCTCGAGGAACGTATGAAAGTTGATAATGATTTTACAAGGTTTCGAGAAATACATAACCAACTCAAACCTAATACTTTATGGAAGCTAGCACTTCGATTTTCTCAATACAGAGAACATATACAATATATAATGACAATAGTTGTAACCATCCGTAACCTGACTACCATGGAATTATGTCATCAATGTGGGGGTTTATATCAAGACCCAATCACACATCCGAGTTGAGGGACCAACTATGGTGCTGTATAATTAACATCAAGGATATATTGTTTAGTGTCCATTTACTCTCTCCCAGATCTTGAGATAATACACATAATTATTGGAGGAAATATAACCTACAAAATTCGTGATCTTTCGATCCATGTGCGACATGTGTGTGAAAGTGACGATTTGTTTCTAAAATATCAGTTTGAAGTGCGACCCGCGCTTATTTCCCCGCATATTATAGAGGGCCGGAGTTCTGACGTTAATCGACGACAGACCGATATAAAAAAAGTTGATAATTTATGTGTACAAGATGTGTTAAGTATATTTTACTTAATGTATATAATCATAAGTTATGATTATAGTTATGATTAAAAGTTAAATACATACATATCTAATGTAGAATTTTGTATAAGTTATGTGCACTTAGCAAAATATATCACATGAGATACTATATGAACTATACTACAGATTAAGATACATGAGAGTATACATGTGTGGGCCCGTAACTTAGGTTATCGATTCAGAAACAGTGGCAATTGTAAACATGCAATAAACTGATCTTAAAATGGTTTTATTCTAAACATATATATTATGCAACTCCTTAAATTCGTTTTTCAAACAATATCGGCAAGTGCAAATTTAAGAATGACTATAGGAAATCTCAATAACAGGGCACAGCTACAACCTTGTCTCGAAAGCTATTATTCATATTTTTAACAGAGCTTGTTGGAAAGTATGATGTGTTGAAGAATTAGGCCATAAGATGGGGTTTTGTGTCCCACGAGTGTCGATTTGCCAAGATGGTAATATGGTCACCTAGTTCTTTATGTTGAGATAATAATATCACATTATCTAGTTAGGGAAATGTGTCCGTCCATTTCATTTTGATTAGTAATGTCATAATTGATTAGTGCTAATGAAAATGACTGCATATCAAGTCATATTTCAGGTCATACATGGGTAAACTATAGAAACAACACTTGAACCAAAACCGGTCAGATCTAAGTACTGCATTTTACCTGTGCCATTCCAGCCCCGAAGGTCGGGGATGGAGAAAAATGTATACCTGCTGTTTCCCGCTGCATGTTTTAAAAGGCACCTAATGTGAAAACCCCCTGTAGAATCGGATTTTTTTTTGTGTGCCCTCTACTATTAGAAGTAGTGGTTATATTCAGCAGGCGATACGAAAAGAGTTGTGCCCTTTTACATCTGGTTTCCACAGGACAGTAGGACAAAAATGGTGGACCACAATACAAGGTTCATCGCGCCGAAATACCGTACCAAAGTCGGACATTACTGTAACGGTTCCAATAGTACATATATATCCATTGAGTAGAGCAAGCAATGATGTTGATGTTCGTTTTATCTGTTAAAATTTCTGGTAAATATCACAACAGTTACTTACCTTATCAACATAATTGGCACCTAGTTGTCGAATTGCACAATAGCACAATTGACAATGCCGTATGTGCGAACAAAAAAATGAAAAATATGTTTGAGTGGTTCAAATGATTCTTGTAAAAAGGCTGATAATGTTTTCTCGACGGGAGATGCGAATCTCTCCAACAAAATACGAGATTATATGAGGAACGATCCTACTGATAATGCAGAATCGTTCAAAAGGTTGCTAATACCCAAGATGACCAAATGAAATATGTGGTTGTACAGATTCCGGATTAAACTAATGAATATCTACTCAGTGCTAGCTAACAGGAATGTGTCACATAAAATGGTCGTCACAGTATATCTAAGGTTATACTTCTACACATACTGTATGACGCTAATTTAAGTATATTTTTAGTTATATAGCATGTGACACGTTTCTGTGGTGCTGACATGGATCCGACATAGGGATGCTGACATGGATCCGACATAGGAATGTTCCGGTATCACAAGACACTCTTCCAGCTTTAAGCTTTAAGTACAATTAAGACATGCTAGCTATAAAATGTACTTTTATTGAGTGAAACGTAGACATCACAGCTAATCCAATAAGTGGATAGCTTTGTCAATGCACAAGAGGCGCGCGAACGGTCCGGTGATGCGCGAGCATCATATCAGTCATTCCGATTACAGGCGAACGCCAGATTGCACGCTATTGGTAATACAATGGACAGGATTACGACGTACTATTTTATCTCCCGTTACACCGGTGGCATTATTTATTTCGTTCAGGATACTGGCAGACAAATTATAGATAGATGATGGATAGTTTAAAGTGATATAAGTGTTCAGATAATTTACCTGTGATTGTTGAACTCGTGCTGCCGGGGGTGTTTGTCCCGCTGACTGAACCAGAAATAACGGTCACCGTACGATTGAGTCGTACCACCCTGTTAGAGAGTGTGTGTAGAGAGTCTGTAAAACTCGCCAACTGGTGGCGATGAGCTAGCGTCTTGTTTTCTAAATTGGAAACGCTTACTGCCTCTGAATCAGCATAGTTTGATGAAATTTCATTAGCGTTTCTTCTCAAGTTTTGCACGTCGATTACTAGTTGTAAAACGTCCTGTGTTGTATTGCTGTCTGGTCCACTTTCGTCTGACAAAGGTTTGAACTCTCTTGCAAGTCTGTTTTTTATCGTTCTTTCCATACTTTTGAAACTGCTATCGAGACTTTTATCCAGGAGTTGAAATTTTGATTTATACACCTTGTTCCATCCCGCTAGGGTAGAATTCTGACAAGCACTGCCCATTCTTATTTCATCCTCACACTTTATTTCATCCTCACACTTTGGAGCACCAGTTACAGTTGCGCATGACATCACTAATAGAAGAATAACAACAAGCACATGTCCTGCCATAGTGTGTCGCGTCGCGGACCAGGCTGATGATATGCACAGTCTGGAGTGTAAACAGATATATATATGTAACTTTCAGGGACAAAGGCCATGTGTATAAAAACCACGGGCACTTGCCAACACTGAGTGGAAATTCTCAGAAATTCAGAGCCACTTTTAGTTGTGGGCTCCATATGGTTAAACTATATATATATGTAACGACTTTATAATATGGAAACTTGTACGCTAGTACACTGAATATTTGTTGCTAGATGATTTTTTATTTTACATGTAAATATTGGAAAACAATTCGGATTTATACCTGATAATATGTATCTCCTACGAAAATATCTTACTTGTGCACTATATTTGTTCATTATATGAAGTTAGGCACCTATCGACGAAAGAGACAATCGGAAAAATGTGTATATAAAAGTGTCTATCGAACTGAAAAAATGCATGGTAAGAACCATGTCAAATCATTGTTTACAAGCTCCAGTCACATTAATGAAAGTAGCTGTAAAGTATCTGCAGTATTCTCGATCTCAGACACATTGTATCTTTAGAGTCTGTGTAATGTCTCGTATGTGTAAACTCATACATGCGTCATTACGCTAGATACATTGCCTAAGTGATAAAGTATGCCAGTTAGAGATCAAGTATTGTGCTTTTTAATCGATAGATTTGTGTATTTGCGTAATTTATATTACTACATTTTTTTTGGTAGTGAATTGTTATTTATCATACTAAAGATATTGAATATTTCAGTGTAGGGGCATTAACATATATGTGTGCGTAATGCTTAGAAACTGCTTCAAATCACTAGATTAATATTAATTACTAAATTCTTTTACAGCTTCTTTCCCATGTTATATAACTATGTACATTTAAGACTAACGATAAATGTATACCTATCATATTTGCATGTCTGTTGATTGTTTCTTTAATGTAATTATGCTGTTCCTGTAATTACAATCACAATGAGGGTAAAATATGGTGCTGTTAAGTTTGTATGTATTGAACCAGATATATATATATATATATCTTTTGAAATAAACCTGAAGAGCCCTGTGAAGGGTGAAAGCAGCTTGTTTTTTAGTCGGTCGTTAGATCTTATTTTTTCTGTATACATGTACATGTATTTACTTTATATATTTCCTCAACTACACTCCATGAATTAGTCCTGATGTTACAAATTTATATATAAAAAGAAAAGTATAAACTAGAAATAACTGAGAAAAGTGGACACCTTAAGGTTTTATACTACGTCAGATTTACCTAATCTACTCAATGACACACGACAAGCGAAGCTAACACATGTGTAAAGTTTGTAGTAAATGGTAAACGATAGTGTAGCACAACCTTGAAGTATAGTTTATAGTGAGTTACCTCCCTTCCTCTGCTAGGGTATTATGGGATCGCGCACATGCACAAGCAACCGAGCATGATCCTACGAAAGGACTTTGAAGTTATTACAAAGTTAAACTGATTCTGAGCTGTAACTTTTGTATTCTGGTAATTTATATTAAATACAAACATTGTGGTGCCATGACAAAACTGAGATATACATGTAAAAGATGTGCATTGATTAGGTTGCCTACATGCGTCAGCTGTAGGGAATTTTCCTTTAGCTCAGCGGTAGAGCATCGAGCTGGAGAGCCTGTGGTCGTGGGTTCGAGCCCCGGCGACGGCACTATCTTTATCACTATCCTTGTCCTTCTATAGACATACCTTAGCCTGAGACCACAGATCGGTTTCATTTCGAGATTATTGGTCAGTTTGACGTCATAACATCACTACTCCAGTCTGATACTAGACTATGATGAACTACACAGATCATTCCAAGCGATGGCTGTTCACACTAACAATTCCAATCCGCATCACGTATTGAATCCAAAAATTATTACCAACTACAAAAGTCGATGACCTTCAAAACAATCCGTAGCTTGTGAACAAAGTCATTCTTTAATTACATGGTTTATTACATATGAATATACCTTGTGTAAAGTGTGTATAATTGACATACAATTAACATATAGTAAAAATCAGATTTACATGTCATTTACATTTGCCTGTGATCTTCCTGAAGTACCTTAATTTTAATATTTATCGCTGAAAATTCACGCCAACTGACGGAAACAAAATTAATTGTGCTTAAAAAACCTGTGCCTGAGTCCTATATTTGACTAATGGTTATACGATACAGAAAAAAAAAGTTACTCTTTTCAGGTTTCTGCACCGGTAAACTATTTATAATATTATTATCTAGTATATCATGGTTTACATGAAATACTAGTTCATGTAATCTGTTGTAACCAATTTTTTTTTCAAGCTACATGTATTAAAAGGTTTTAAGCACCTTTCCCTTATCACTGTATTTCTACAAATGTTTCGGAATACCTTGGAATTTGTACATCATACGGAAACGATCATAGGTTGTAAAATGAGCACACACGCTTACTTGATTTTCAAATAGGTGCTTCGTTTTTCGTATGTCCAATGATTATTTGATAAAACAACTATTCTCAGACAAATGTAAATAATGATTTGGGAACTGACAAGAGCAGGCATTTGAAATATCATATCAATATTTATAGCACTGTTTACACAGAAAAACAACATAGCTAGTCTAACCGTTAAATATACAACACAGTCAGTGTGTCTATTAAATAAATAAACAACAAGCCAATGTGCCTATTAAATATACAACACAGTCAATGTGTCTATTAAATATACAACATAGCAGGTGTGCCTATTAAATATACAACATTGCCAGTGTGTCTATTAGATATACAACACAGTCAATGTGTCTATTAAATATACAACGCAGTCAGCATGCCTATTAAATATACAACACAGTCAATGTGTCTATTAAATAAACAACACAGCCAGAGTGTCTATTAAATATACAACATTGCCAGTGTGTCTATTAAATATACAACACAGTCAATGTGTCTATTAAATATACAACACAGTCAATGTGCCTATTAAATATACAACACAGTCAATGTGCCTATTAAATATACAACGCAGTCAGCGTGCCTATTAAATATACAACACAGTCAATGTGTCTATTAAATATACAACACAGTCAATGTGTCTATTAAATATACAATAAAGTCAATGTGTCTATTAAATATACAACACAGTCAATGTGCCTATTAAATATGCAACGCAGTCAGCGTGCCTATTAAATATACAACACAGCCAGTGTGTCTATTAATTATACAACACAGACAATGTGCCTATTAAATATACAACATAGCCGGTGTGCCTATTAAATAGACAACACAGTCAATGTGTCTATTAAATATCCAACACAGCCAATGTGTTTATTAAATATGCAACGGAGTCAGCGTGCCTATTAAATATACACCGCAGTCAGCGTGCCTATTAAATATACACCGCAGTCAGCGTGCCTATTAAATATACACCGCAGTCAGCGTGCCTATTAAATATACAACACAGTCAATGTGCCTATCAAATAAACAACACAGCCAGTGTGTCTTTTAAATATACAACACAGTCAATGTGTCTGTTAAATATACAACACAGCCAGTGTGTCTATTAATTATACAACACAGTCAATGTGTCTATTAAATATACAATAAAGTCAATGAGTCTATTAAATATACAACACAGTCAATGTGCCTATTAAATATACAACATAGCAGGTGTGACTATTAAATATACAACACAGTCAATGTGCCTATTAAATATACAACACAGTCAATGTGCCTATCAAATAAACAACACAGCCAGTGTGTCTTTTAAATATACAACACAGCCAGTGTGTCTGTTAAATATACAACACAGTCAGCGTGTCTGTTAAATATACAACACAGCCAGCGTGCCTATTAAATATACAACACAGTCAATGTGTCTGTTAAATATACAACACAGTCAATGTGTCTATTAAATATACAACACAGCCAGTGTGTCTATTAAATATACAACACAGCCAGTGTGTCTGTTAAATATACAACACAGTCAGCGTGTCTGTTAAATATACAACATAGCAGTATTTCTATTAAATATACAACACAGCCAGTCTATCAATTAAATTCACAACACAGCCAGTCTGTCTATTAAATTTTTAACATAGTTAGTCTGTCAAATATATTTACAACATAGTAAGCCTGTCTATCAAATTTACAACATAGTAAGTCTGTCTATTAAGGTCATAGGAGTGTATTGCTAAACGAAAATAGGAAGTACATCCCTAGTTGAAAATCCAATGTAGGGAGACAGTCTCACAATTTCCGCATAATCTAATGTTTAATATTAAACTGATGAATATTGTATGCTTATTATTGACAGAACAGTGTGTTCTTTCAATATTAAAGTATTTCAAAGCAATCCAGGCATTAATTCAGTTGTTTTTTTAATCAATTAGTCATATGTGTCCATTTTTCTGTACTTCAGAAACCGGCTTCCTATTTCACTACTGTGAAGTTTTTCAAGAACGATAACTCTTGCATACAATTACTATGTGTATATGCTTTTATTATAAAATGTTAATTTTTAATCGTTTATAGATAATAAATTGTACACAATTTCAGCATTTATGAAATTGGTATACATTAATGCAATACTTATCTATGTTAGTATCATTTTTATTGACATTGTATTGCAAAAAAATGTGTGTTTCAATGTTTTTTCAAAATTCACTCCTTTTTACATAAATTTCCTTTTAAAATCCTTAAAATTCTGACAACCTATATTTTTTTTGTGGCAGAAAATTTTCTTTACTTCAAAGCAATATATCTACAAAATTTGAAAAAAAATCTACTGAGAAATGACGACACAATCCTATTACTTCCCCAAAGCTATGTTACGCTAGTGCGCGCATCCAACCGTGCACTGTTATAACGCGTCCTCGGGTATTTTTATACAGGTAGCAATATCGGAATCCCGTGTCTAAGAATAGATTATTGAAAACAGACCACATATTTGGTATTTCGGCATTATTTGTTGGTGTTTAAGCACTTGATATAATTACTATTGCCAGTTGGAGGGAAAACAATTCATAAATTTCATCAAAAATAGTCTTACCTACAAAGCGTAGCTGTACTGTACACGTGTACAGGGATTTGTTGACATGCTTCGATAAAAGTATGTCGCACTAAATAATAAAGAAATTATTACTAACAAAACTGATAAATCAATAGGTATGTTATTAAAATGAAAACAAAATGTTCCATCATTTAAAAAAACCCACTATTGCCTTATTAAGGAAAATGATCACATGCCTAAATATTTTAAAAAAAATAACTGAAGGAGGATTCAAACCTGCACCGTTTATTTTCTAGTCGCAAGTAAACTGAGTTACACATTCGGCTACATAGAACATATAGATATTGGCAATTACAAACTTATTTAACCCGAGAAACACCGGTCGCAGTTCAGAGAAACTTGATCACCCCTGTTTTTCATTATTTTGAGCACTTTCCCAAAGGAGGACCACTTTTCCGTCATACGATTTGTTTTTGAAAATTACATAACGGTCACAAAAAGTTTATTCAAAAGTTGGTTCTCGGTTGGGAAAGTGTTGAAATTTTTTAAGTCCGGGAAACCCCATCACTTTCATAGATATAGTGTATATGGCTATATTTGCAGTATCATATTAGCAATACCTAATTTCTCAGCAGTTTCAAAATTCATATTCAATTGGTTTTGTATCTTTTGTATGCATTTTTGCTACCCGAAATGCTTTACTCCTTAATTATTTTTTCCCGTTTTCATAAATGCCGACTTAGGGAAATACCGGCAGTTTTCCGCCATACCTCTTTACAACAAAGTAAGTATGTGAAAACATACAACATAGGAAGTGTGTCTATTGAAATAACAACAATCCTTTTTGTGTAATCATACAACATAGGAAGTGTGTCTATTGAAATAACAACAATCCTTTTTGTGTAATCATACAACATAGCCAGTCAGTATGTCATCTCTATGCCTATCATTAATATAAGGATCTCTGAACCACTGAAAAACACTGACTATAAACGTAGTGAAAACTGTTTTTTCGGCATTACTATAGCTTTGGTAAATCATTTCTGGATAGAAAACTAAACCTTGCTGGACTTTTGCGAGAAATAATACCGATGAAATAAATAGAATGTGATAAACAACAGTGTTCTGAATGTAACAAGAGGCCCAATAGGCCTGCATCGCTCATTTGTAATCTTAAAAATGGACAAAGGTCAAATACATCTAAGTGAACTAAATAAAGCTACAGGCTCAATATCATTACCAAAAACAAGAAAAACCCTGTTACAAGATTTGTACACATGTGACCCTTGTGACATTGAAAATGTATGAAAGTTATTCATTCCAAAAACTCGATAGCCTTTTATCTCAGCATGCTAATGGCCAAATACACCACCCAGGAACTTCAGTCATGTAAACGTTTTCATCACATTTGACCCGTTTGACCTTGATTATGGGTGAAGGTCTTTCATTCCAATACACATGATAGCCCTTCATCTTGGGGAGCTACTAGCCAAATACATTGTTATCGTCAACCTAGGTATCCAGGTTATTCAGGAGTCATTCCAATACACATGATAGCCCTTCATCTTGGGGAGCTACTAGCTGAATACATTGTTATCGTCACCCTAGGTATCCAGGTTATTCAGGAGTCATTCCAATACACATGATAGCCCTTCATCTTGGGGAGCTACTAGCTGAATACATTGTTATCGTCACCCTAGGTATCCAGGTTATTCAGGAGTCATTCCAATACACATGATAGCCCTTCATCTTGGGGAGCTACTAGCTGAATACATTGTTATCGTCACCCTAGGTATCCAGGTTATTCAGGAGTCATTCCAATACACATGATAGCCCTTCATCTTGGGGAGCTACTAGCTGAATACATTGTTATCGTCACCCTAGGTATCCAGGTTATTCAGGAGTCATTCCAATACACATGATAGCCCTTCATCTTGGGGAGCTACTAGCTGAATACATTGTTATCGTCACCCTAGGTATCCAGGTTATTCAGGAGTCATTCCAATACACATGATAGCCCTTCATCTTGGGGAGCTACTAGCTGAATACATTGTTATCGTCACCCTAGGTATCCAGGTTATTCAGGAGTCATTCCAATACACATGATAGCCCTTCATCTTGGGGAGCTACTAGCTGAATACATTGTTATCGTCACCCTAGGTATCCAGGTTATTCAGGAGTCATTCCAATACACATGATAGCCCTTCATCTTGGGGAGCTACTAGCTGAATACATTGTTATCGTCACCCTAGGTATCCAGGTTATTCAGGAGTCATTCCAATACACATGATAGCCCTTCATCTTGGGGAGCTACTAGCTGAATACATTGTTATCGTCACCCTAGGTATCCAGGTTATTCAGGAGTCATTCCAATACACATGATAGCCCTTCATCTTGGGGAGCTACTAGCTGAATACATTGTTATCGTCACCCTAGGTATCCAGGTTATTCAGGAGTCATTCCAATACACATGATAGCCCTTCATCTTGGGGAGCTACTAGCTGAATACATTGTTATCGTCACCCTAGGTATCCAGGTTATTCAGGAGTCATTCCAATACACATGATAGCCCTTCATCTTGGGGAGCTACTAGCTGAATACATTGTTATCGTCACCCTAGGTATCCAGGTTATTCAGGAGTCATTCCAATACACATGATAGCCCTTCATCTTGGGGAGCTACTAGCTGAATACATTGTTATCGTCACCCTAGGTATCCAGGTTATTCAGGAGTCATTCCAATACACATGATAGCCCTTCATCTTGGGGAGCTACTAGCTGAATACATTGTTATCGTCACCCTAGGTATCCAGGTTATTCAGGAGTCATTCCAATACACATGATAGCCCTTCATCTTGGGGAGCTACTAGCTGAATACATTGTTATCGTCACCCTAGGTATCCAGGTTATTCAGGAGTCATTCCAATACACATGATAGCCCTTCATCTTGGGGAGCTACTAGCTGAATACATTGTTATCGTCACCCTAGGTATCCAGGTTATTCAGGAGTCATTCCAATACACATGATAGCCCTTCATCTTGGGGAGCTACTAGCTGAATACATTGTTATCGTCACCCTAGGTATCCAGGTTATTCAGGAGTCATTCCAATACACATGATAGCCCTTCATCTTGGGGAGCTACTAGCTGAATACATTGTTATCGTCACCCTAGGTATCCAGGTTATTCAGGAGTCATTCCAATACACATGATAGCCCTTCATCTTGGGGAGCTACTAGCTGAATACATTGTTATCGTCACCCTAGGTATCCAGGTTATTCAGGAGTCATTCCAATACACATGATAGCCCTTCATCTTGGGGAGCTACTAGCTGAATACATTGTTATCGTCACCCTAGGTATCCAGGTTATTCAGGAGTCATTCCAATACACATGATAGCCCTTCATCTTGGGGAGCTACTAGCCAAATACATTGTTATCGTCACCCTAGGTATCCATGTTATTCAGGAGTCATTCCAATACACATGATAGCCCTTCATCTTGGGGAGCTACTAGCCAAATACATTGTTATCGTCACCCTAGGTATCCATGTTATTCAGGAGTCATTCCAATACACATGATAGCCCTTCATCTTGGGGAGCTACTAGCTGAATACATTGTTATCGTCACCCTAGGTATTCAGGTTATTCAGGAGTCATTCCAATACACATGATAGCCCTTCATCTTGGGGAGCTACTAGCCAAATACATTGTTATCGTCACCCTAAGTATTCAGGTTATTCAGAAGAAGTTGTTTTACCTGCTTTCATTACATTTGACCCATGAGTTATTGAATCCAAAGGAAAGTCAGTCATTTGAACAAAATCGATAGCTCTTTACATGAGCATGCTACTGGCCAAATAGCATCGCCATTGGATAAACCACAGAGAAGTGGGACCGGGATTCCTGATATAATTGATATAAACGTAACTGGAAGAATATCGACCGACCAGATCTTGAATTGCTAACATATATATAGGACCAAATAAACGACATATGGATAATCAATCCTCTTTCTACTTGGCCAAACGTGTTTTTTTGATGAAAGACAGACCTAGACAAAGAGCTAACTTTAGTTTACATTGTCTATTGTATTTCCCGCCACCAATTGCCCTCATTAATAACAACTCCACACTACTACTGTACATATGCTTCGCGTATAAGTATGATAACCCAAAAATGATAGATAGATATAAAATTATATATACAAATCCAGATAATCAGAAATCGGATAAACAGATAAATATACAGGCCAACGCCGCAGAAAAAAATATTATTTTTGTGTGTGCAAAGCAACTATAGCATAAACCTTAATATATTCCAAAAATAAGGCAATATCCCAAAATAAAATTAAAACATATTCAGATATTCAAGAAATTGACACATTTTCTGTCATCGATAATTGTGCTAGTTTTCAATGTATAAACCTGAAAACTCAATGTGGAGTCATCAAGTATAACATCAAGGAGGTATAACACGTGAATGTTTTCATACTAGAAAACAATCGGGTTTTCCTGTCATACTACCGATGACGTGAATTCCAGAATGGTTCCGGTTAAGGATAGTTACAATAGATAAAACATTCACGGTTCTCAAAACAAAATTGTTCAACCATTTGTTTAGAGTTTTTCATAAGTCATAATAACGAAATACCTAAAATTGTTTTGAATATGGTAATTATGATTAAAAACTCGTCATGGCATTTACGATGAAATGAAAATAAATTGCTCATGAGCGGCGCTTTTTCAGGCACTAAAAATATGTTAACAAGTGGTATTAGTACCATCACAACTGTTAAAAATATGCATTAGAGTCCTGAAAAGATGCGAATATTTGTGCTACCTTTCACTGGTATAATAAACACAATTTTCCTGCTGCAGTTCATGGTTGTACGTGATAAACACCGGTGATCATGCTGCAGTTCATGGTTGTACATAATAAACACCGGTGATCATGCTGCAATTCATGGTTGTATATAATAAACACCGGTGATCATGCTGCCGTTCGTAGTTGTAAATAATAAACACCGGTGATCATGCTGCAGTTCATGGTTGTACATAATAAACCCCGGTGATCATGCTGCAGTTCATGGTTGTACATAATAAACACCGGTGATCATGCTGCAGTTCATGGTTGTATATAATAAACACCGGTGATCATGCTGCAGTTCGTAGTTGTAAATAATAAACACCGGTGATCATGCTGCAGTTCATAGTTGTATATAATAAACACCGGTGATCATGCTGCAGTTCACTGTTCTTATATAATAAACACCGATGGTATTGCTGTAATTAAATATTGTCTGTAAACACAAGTGGTCATGTTGCGCTTCATTCTTGCATATAATTAACATCTATGATCTTGTTGAAGTGTTCACTTACATTGTTTAAGTTCAGTTCTTGATAAAGCGTGTGTCTGTTAAGTTTCCTTGGTTGTACCTCATTTGTGCTGTGCGTTACCATTACATGATAGCGCAGGAATCCTTCTTGTTGGCGTTAGCAGACGCCGACCCTCCGCTTACCGGTGTCGGCCTTGTTGACGTCTGTGGACGAGCTCGCCTTTGTTCACCTCCACCTCCTCCTTGTCGTCCGGAGATACGACCAGCAATACGACCAAGCCTTTCCTTAAACTGTGCCAACGGTTCAATGTAAAAACATTCCAGCCATATCTTTCTGAAGCAAAGAATCTTCAACACCTGCCGAGTTTGCCCAGCAATCACAATCTCTTCTGTGATTAACATTTTATTTGAAACAGCATTGAGTTCATAAAACTTGTTCATGTTGTTTCCGCACATATCCTCATCCATGAAGATACACTTGCCAAGCAACACGTCGGGCGAGAACAAGGTACACAGTATCAAAAGTTCATCGATATCGTCATTGGTGAGCTCTCTGTATTTCCTATATTCTCGCAGTTTTCGTACCCCGGACTCTGACTTGTCCAAGTTGAGAGCGTAGCAGATACTGTCCAAGTAGTACATGAGTTTAGCCTGGGGCACTTCAGCCACGTCCACGTCGCGTCCAAACTCCTTCACACCAACATCTGTCTTTCTTACAACTGCCGCCGCCATATCTCAGTCTTGAACGAAAGTATTCCCAGCCTCAACAATGTTCCTTCCTCTTTCGGTTTGAAAAGATCACGTGACTAATACCTATATGCTTGTTTTATTTATAAATCCAGGTAGGCATCCCATGATGAGTCATTGTATCAATGATAAACATAGCTAAATCAAAAGTAGGTCCATGACCAATGTAGCGTAAAAATGTCTTTCCCTGTATGAAAAAGTCATTGACCCATGAAGCTCTTCCAAGAGAATATGTGTAATGTGTGTTTATACATATCCAATATGATATAATATACCAAATTAATAGAATTAATTTTAGAAGCCATATACATGTACTTGTTATCGTATTATAAGTAACAATTGGTCAAATAAATAAGCGTAAAAATATCTCATAGACATCCAATACACTATTGTATTCCAAAGGGATGAGGTCCGACGCTTTTGGGGCGTTTAAGTGTGAATATCCACATGATTAATTATGTTTCGCAATAAAGAAGCAAAACCCGTCTTACTATGCTCGGCAATCTATTTTAAATCATACTTGTATCTAGTATTTTTTTTATTAAGTTTCCACGGAACATTTGTTTTTATGTGATAGATTTAATAACAATATTGAAGTGACAGAATTGAATTAAGTGTTACAAAATGAATTTCACTCTTAAAACCACTTAGTTGGGTTAGATCATTCAACGCTCGCACAAGAATATCAGTATACACAATCACCACGTCAAAAAAAGTTTGACCCTCTTTCTGAAATTGCTCGACCCCTGCCCCTGAATTATTCTGACATATTCAATGACACGATTTATTTCATATCATGCTTTGTTAGTTAAGATGTATTTTTTGTTTATATATATTTATAATACCCAAGACATTGGAGACAATAAGATTGCATTTAAATTTACCTTTTCTATGAATGTATAGCTTATACATTCTTGATACATAAAAAATGGAACTCGTATAATAAAATGTAATGATAAGCATCCTATGAGGGACCTTTCCTTCACTCCTGGGTAGTTAAAATGTTGTTATGTCCGATTGTTTGTGGAGAACGTACATTTCTCCGTCGGAATTGTCCACTAAGGAGAGTGGAGCGGAATTCGAACTTTTAAGGATCTTGAAACACGACAGTCTCTGTTATTTCCATGTTTATCACACACACAAAAATAAATGCAAGAAAATATACACCATATCATCAACACAACAACTTACACCAGATTACAGTGGCTTTAATGTCTGAAATACACATATGCTATATACTGATATGGGTCACAACACACATAAACATAAGCGTTGTGACCCATATGTGTATTTCAGGCATTTGTAACGAGTCCCTGTGATCTGATGTTCTGTAGTGTGAATCGGTATTCTCGTAGCTTTACATGTACCTTAGATTTTACCATATGAAAATCCATGGCCGCCTCAGTTTTGACCGGTTTGACTTTTTTAACCGCTCATAACATGTAATCTTCGAGTTGTCTCTCTTCCTTCAGTCCCATTAGACAGTCGCCCAAGAAACGAACCATGCACAGCCCATGAAATCAGGGACAGTATATATATTTATACGTCCCTGATGAAATTCACCAAATTAATATTATTTAACAATATATCTATTATGATACAAAATTAAGTAAGAATTGTCCTTCTAATGATACATTTAATATCGCAGTAAAATGTTCGCTCAGAATTTGACCTATTTAGCTCTTTTAGAAAGCACGCGTTCTGCGAATTTCTTTCTTTATCGAAACCAAAAGTAGAAAACCTGCCGGAAGCAGTCGTTACAGAATGTCTGTGCTCAGTTACGTGCGGTCAAATCTGTTTACACTCGGTCTCTTACTTCTTATTGCTGGCTTTTCTACCCCAAGTTGGCAGGGATATACTGTCCACAGCTCGGACAATGATACATATACCGGACACCACGGTCTGTGGCACAAATATCTGTCTAACGACAGTGTCTCTTGTAAGGGGGACTTTGGATCCGATACAGGTAAGCACTAAGCAGCAATATACTCCGCTTTACCGTCAGATCTTTTGAATACATTTCCTTCTACCAGCAATAAATACTAGACCATAGTGTCCAAGTAGGTAGAGATGGAATGTGTATTTTTTGGTCACCTGAGACAAAGAGTCTCAAGTGACCTATTGCGATCGCCTTTTGTCCGGCGTCGTCCGTCCGTAAACAATTTACATTTTCGACTTCTTCTCCAAAACCCCTCAACCAATTTCAATGAAATTTTGCAGAAACCTTCCATGGCCAAAGGTCAACAAAAATAGTGTCCGGTTTGGTCCCCAGCCCCCCGGGGCCTGAGGGGCGGCAGGCGCGTAGCTAGCCCCTTTACCATGTGAAAGCCCGACATGGGGTTGCCGAAGGCAGCGCTCCTCCCGAAGCGCGAGCAGGGGGAGGGTACGGGAGGGGGTCTTCCCCCTCCCGTAAGGGGGGTCTAGGGGGTCTCCCCCATGAAAATTCTGTTTTCTAGAACGTCTCTGGGGGGTCTCCCCGATGAACATTTTGTATTCTAGAACGTCTCAGGAGCCATTTCCCACGACCTGATGTCTGTTTTCTCGTTTAAATCCGCAAGAAAAAAGTCCTATTTTTGGTATATATATATACCTATTTACGTGGATCCAGTGTAATTCTGAATATTAACCGTCGGTATTGATTTGTACACCCTCCATACATACATTGTCTGGTTTTTACCTAATCTTGATAAATGCATTTGATACTTCTGCATTAGTGAACATGCAATTGGGTTTGTCTTTCTCATAATCTGATCCGAGTTAATTGGGAAGCGAGGTTACCCCCACTGTCACCTTTACTCAGTCTCCCACACAGTTTCGTCTTCTGTTTGTGCTTTGTGACTGGTTCCTTATACTTGCTCCTGTTATTTGTTGGGCATTTCGAGAAGCGAGGTTGCCCCCACTATCATCGTCATGCCCAGCTTTGCAGTCTCCGACACCGTTTCGTCTTCTGGTTTCATAAACATTTTGTGGACATGGAAGAAAATTAAATTTTAGTTTTATATACGTCCATTATAGAAGGTATTATTATGCGCAATATGACAAAGTAAAAAAATACAAAGCACCGTGATTTTTTAAAATTCTGTTGTGTTGTAATTGGGCAGGCTCCAGAAGACAGTTTTCGTCATTTAAAAAAAAAACGGCAAGAAAACCTATACTTGTCAAAATCATGTGCAAGCCCGGGCTTATTGGCTTACATGGTAGCTACGCGCCTGGGCGGGGCCAAAAAGGGTCAAATTGACTAAAATTTCAAAAAATATTTTTCTCAAGACCCAGATATGGTAGAATCAAATACTCTTCATAGATGGAAGGGTCTTAAGGTGTTTTACCAAAATTGTGAATTTCTTGACCCTGGGGTCTCACGTTTCCCCCTGGGCAGGGGGTAAACTTTACTATACCTTAGTTTATATTGTGAAATCACATTTTGGACCAACATTTGTTTAATTGCCATTGGAAGTAATTCAATTTAGGTTAGCATTATTAGTATTAGGTAGCAGTTTGATAGTATGCACATATGAGCCCTGACTGACCCCCAGGGGTTGATGGGTGGGGCGGGAAAGGGTCGAATTGACTGAAATTTCGAAAATCTTCTTCTCAAGACCCAGATATGGTAGAATCAAATACTCTTCATAGATGGAAGGGTCTTAAGGTGCTTTACCAAATTTGTGAATTTCATTACCCTTGGGTCTCACGTTTACCCCTGGGGAGGGGGTAGACTTTACTTTAGTTTATATAGGGAAATCACATTTTGGACCAACATTTGTTTAATTTCCATTGGAAGTAATTCAATTTGGGTTAGCATTATCAGTATTAGATAGCAGTTTGATAGTATGCACATATCAGCCCTGACTGACCCCCAGGNTTATATTGTGAAATCACATTTTGGACCAACATTTGTTTAATTGCCATTGGAAGTAATTCAATTTAGGTTAGCATTATTAGTATTAGGTAGCAGTTTGATAGTATGCACATATGAGCCCTGACTGACCCCCAGGGGTTGATGGGTGGGGCGAAAAAGGGTCGAATTGACTGAAATTTCGAAAATCTTCTTCTCAAGACCCAGATATGGTAGAATCAAATACTCTTCATAGATGGAAGGGTCTTAAGGTGCTTTACCAAATTTGTGAATTTCATTACCCTTGGGTCTCACGTTTACCCCTGGGGAGGGGGTAGACTTTACTTTAGTTTATATAGGGAAATCACATTTTGGACCAACATTTGTTTAATTTCCATTGGAAGTAATTCAATTTGGGTTAGCATTATCAGTATTAGATAGCAGTTTGATGGTATGCACATATCAGCCCTGACTGACACCCCGGGGTTGATGGGTGGGGCCAAAAAGGGTTGAATTGACTGAAATTTCAAAAATCTTCTTCTCAAATACCCAGATATGGTAGAATCAAACACTCTTCGTAGATGGAAGGGTCTTAAGGTTTATGACCCTAGGGTTTCAAGTTGTTTACCGTCTGCTCTGAGGAAGGAGGGGGGGGGGGCAAAATTTATTATTTATTATAATTGCAAATGATACTTTGAATATTATATGTTAATAACTTGATTGGAATTTAACCCTGAGTTGACAGTTTGATACTTTGAACATTTTGAGCCAGCCCTACTCCCAAGGGCTGTAGGGTGGGGCCCAAATGAGTCAGTGTGCTAAAATTTCTTCATTTTTCTTGTTTAGAATCAGAGGTGCTAGTTTCAAATACTTTTTAATTTTAAATCTGTATGCTAGATATTGAATAAGGTGGTTTTATTGTTTTTTTGTCACTTTGAATAATATTTCTGTTCGTGTTAAAAACAAAATCAACTCTCTGTATAAATATATCAGGTGACCGTTAAGGCCCATGGGTATCTTGTTAATTATCTGTTTGTTAGTTTTGAAAGTTGGCATTTATAAGATCAATGTATACTGTCTTTAGCACACATGTACACACATACACACATACAGACATACACACATGAACGCGTACACACATACACACATGAACGCGTACATTAGACATAAGGAACCACACCCCAAAATGACTTCAGCTGCTCGTTAAACCTTTTAAAACCAACACTAGACGTAATCAACCAGTGTTACTGAGTTCTGACTCTGATGGTTAATTTACGAGTTTACACACTGCTAGTTACAAAAGGCCCTATTGAATTGGTATGCATTGGTGGAAGTTTACTCTTTATATATACATTCTGTAGTTAACTGTAATTTACATACATATCAGCATTAACTATATACTGTATGTTTGCGCGTTTCAACTGGTTGCATTTTGAACACTGACAAAAGTGGATGTGTTTTATATACGTTCATTGTATACACCACCCATTTTTGAAATCAACAATGAGTCATGAACACACATCCAAACTACAGGGACCTGAGAATTTGCTACAGTTATAATTGAACTAAACCAAGGCGTTCAGAGTAATTTGACATGTTTTAGGGGTTGAGATCAACTTTCGGTAAAATAGATTGGTTTGTACACCTTAGTTTAGGTCTAAATATATATGGAACACATTTTCAGTTCCTTGTGATCATGACTACGGCTAGAATGTATACAAATGTCGTGTTTTGGCTGTGTTGTACACCTGTCTCATGGCTGATTGTATCGCGTACACGTATCACAGATGATTGTATTGTATGCACTTATCACAGATGATTGTATTGTGCACACATATCACAGATGATTGTATTGTGCACACTTATCACAGATGTTTGTATTGTATGCACTTATCACAGATGATTGTATTGTATGCACTTATCACAGATGATTGTATTGTGCACAAATATCACAGATAATTGTATTGTGCACACTTATCACAGATGATTGTATTGTGCACACGTATCATGGCTGATTGTATTGTGCACACGTACCACAGATGTTTGTATTGTACACACGTATCATAGATAATTGTATTGTACACACGTATAACAGATGATAGTATTGTACACACGTATCATAGATATTTGTATTGTGCACACATATTACAGATGTTTGTAGTGTACATACGTATCATAGATAATTGTATTGTACACACGTATAACAGATGATAGTATTGTACACACGTATCATAGATAATTGTATTGTACACACGTATAACAGATGATAGTATTGTACACACGTATCATAGATATTTGTATTGTGCACACATATTACAGATGTTTGTAGTGTACATACGTATCATAGATAATTGTATTGTGCACACATATTACAGATGTTTGTATTGTACATACGTATCATAGATAATTGTATTGTACACACGTATCACAGATGTTTGTATTGTGCACACTTATCAAAGATGCTTGTATTGTGCACACGTATCACAGATGTTTGTATTGTGCACACTTATCAAAGCTGATTGTATTGTGCACACGTATCACAGATGATTGTATTGTACTCACGTATCATAGATAATTGTATTGTGCACAAATATTACAGATGTTTGTATTGTACATACGGATCATAGATAATTGTATTGTACACACGTATCACAGATGTTTGTATTGTGCACACTTATCAAAGCTGATTGTATTGTGCACACGTATCACAGATGATTGTATTGTGCACACGTATCACATATGATTGTATTGTGCACACGTACCACAGATGTTTGTATTGTACACACGTATCATAGATAATTGTATTGTGTACACGTAACACAGATGATTGTATTGTGCACACGTATCACAGATGATTGTATTGTGTACACTTATCACAGATGATTGTACTTGATACACTTATCACAGATGATTGTATTGTGCACACGTATCACATATGATTGTATTGTGCACACGTATCACATATGATTGTATTGTGTACACGTATAACATATGTTTGTATTGTGTACACGTAACACAGATGATTGTATTGTGTACACTTATCACAGATGATTGTACTTGATACACTTACCACAGATGATTGTACTTGATACACTTATCACAGATAGTTGTACTGGATATATATGTTTCATAGATGATTGTACTGGACACATTTATCACAAATGGTTGAACTGAATATACGTATCACAGATGGTTTTACTGGACACATTTATCACATATGGATGTTTTGATTACGCGTATAACATATGATTGTACTTGAAACACGTATCACAGTTTGTTGTATTTCGTACACGTATCACAGATGGTTTTACTGGATACACGTATCACAGATGTTTGTATTGTGTATTGGTAGAATTAGATATACGTATCACAGATGGTTGTACAGGATACATGTATCACTGATGGTTGTATTGTGTAAACATACTAATGTACTATTTCACAGAGACATAAACTAATGTACTTGTTCATAGAGACATAAACTAATGTTCTTGTTCATAGAGACATAAACTAATGTACTTGTTCATAGAGATGTAAACTAATGTTCTTGTTCATAGAGACATAACCTAATGTTCTTGTTCATGGAGACATAAACTAATGTTGTTGTTCATAGAGACGTAAACTAATGTTCTTGTTCTTAGAGACATAAACTAATGTGATTGTATTGTGCACACATATCACAGATGATTGTATTGTGCACACTTATCACAGATGATTGTATTGTGCACACTTATCACAGATGTTTGTATTGTATGCACTTATCACAGATGATTGTATTGTGCACACTTATCACAGATGTTTGTATTGTATGCACTTATCACAGATGATTGTATTGTATGCACTTATCACAGATGATTGTATTGTGCACACTTATCACAGATGATTGTATTGTGCACACTTATCACAGATGATTGTATTGTGCACACATATCACAGATGGTTGTACAGGATACATGTATCACTGATGGTTGTATTGTGTAAACATACTAATGTACTATTTCACAGAGACATAAACTAATGTTCTTGTTCATAGAGACATAAATTATTGTACTTTTCATTGATAGAGACATATTTTTACATTATTCACATGTTTTAATTCACGATATATTCAACTATTTTGAATGCATATACATAACATAAACTTTTGTTATTTAACAACAATTATGAAACAAGTTATTTCAACTTACATTGATCACTCTTATTGGCCCGGATATTAGCGCATGTGGGGTCTTATTGTGGGAGGAAACCGGAGTACCCTGAGAAAACCCACGTATAGTCGGGCATGTGACCCCATACCTTTCACATCCGATCGGGGAATCGAACCCCGGCCGCCTTGGTGAAAGGCAAGTGCGCTATCCACTGCACCACCCGACCACTATTTTGAATTATGGCAGGCCTACATGATTTACATAATTTGCTTATTCTTCCTTACAGAAGACTCCGGGTTCAGAGACGATCTACATAAAGTGAGAGATTTCCTTGCGATGAGTATCGCTTTTTCCGTCATACTCCTGGCGATACATTTATGTTGCTTACACCTGTGTTTATCAGAGGAGGACATCAACGACGACGACGAAGGGTGTGCGAAGTGTGCCCTTTTAGGGGTGCAATCACCCACTGTGTGTGCGAAGTGTGCCCTTTTAGGGGTGCAATCACCCACTGTGTGTGCGATGTTCATCGTTAGGTTGGCGGTCACGCTCACTATCTGTAAGTTAAGAAAGGGATTTCCTTTTATTGATTTATCAGAAATCTATTTAATAATATGACTATTCAACACAATTGAATGTCAAGAAAAATATTAAAATCTGAGGAGCTGAGAAGTTGTAATTTTGAAATTTCATAGTCCATAATAATGTTATAAACAATATGCTGGCGAGGAATGAAGTTAGCGTTGTTTACTTTCTGGTGAATACATACTTATGATAATATATTCTTTGTATGTCGGCCATCCCCAAACACGTTTTTGTGGCTTATTCATGTATGTGTATGATCTTGATGTGAATGCATTATTACATTCATTTCAATTCTCCGAAAAAAGAAACGATCTAGCTACCCACTGTCATTGTTAGGGCCCTTTGGAATCCTGTTTATAATATAATTCTGTAAGGACGATTACACAATAAACAATAATGTGTTGAATTATGCGTTTTGTCTGAAGCAAAAATATATCGGTTATGTGGTTCATTATAAACGAAACTAACAATAATTATACCGTACATCATAAAAGTACGTCATGCAATATGGTATGTTGCATTGAGGAATGCTTTCAGGGGAGGGGGGAGATGGCATGATAAGGTCCAGTTAATCAATTATATATATTTACTTTGGAATGTATGACACATTTTTAAGACATTTTTCGGAAATATTAATGACTTCAAACAAAGGATATGGAAATTTGGATTGATATTAATGCATCACCCCGAAATAAATGTGGCACTACTGTCACATTCCGTATAGAGACATATGAACTATTGTGGCACTACTGTCACATTCCGTATAGAGACATATGAACTATTGTGGCACTACTGTCACATTCCGTATAGAGACATATGAACTATTGTGGCACTACTGTCACATTCCGTATAGAGACATATGAACTATTGTGGCACTACTGTCACATTCCGTATAGAGACATATGAACTATTGTGGCACTACTGTCACATTCCGTATAGAGACATATGAACTATTGTGGCACTACTGTCACATTCCGTATAGAGACATATGAACTATTGTGGCACTACTGTCACATTCCGTATAGAGACATATGAACTATTGTGGCACTACTGTCACATTCCGTATAGAGACATATGAACTATTGTGGCACTACTGTCACATTCCGTATAGAGACATATGAACTATTGTGGCACTACTGTCACATTCCGTATAGAGACATATGAACTATTGTGGCACTACTGTCACATTCCGTATAGAGACATATGAACTATTGTGGCACTACTGTCACATTCCGTATAGAGACATATGAACTATTGTGGCACTACTGTCACATTCCGTATAGAGACATATGAACTATTGTGGCACTACTGTCACATTCCGTATAGAGACATATGAACTATTGTGGCACTACTGTCACATTCCGTATAGAGACATATGAACTATTGTGGCACTACTGTCACATTCCGTATAGAGACATATGAACTATTGTGGCACTACTGTCACATTCCGTATAGAGACATATGAACTATTGTGGCACTACTGTCACATTCCGTATAGAGACATATGAACTATTGTGGCACTACTGTCACATTCCGTATAGAGACATATGAACTATTGTGGCACTACTGTCACATTCCGTATAGAGACATATGAACTATTGTGGCACTACTGTCACATTCCGTATAGAGACATATGAACTATTGTGGCACTACTGTCACATTCCGTATAGAGACATATGAACTATTGTGGCACTACTGTCACATTCCGTATAGAGACATATGAACTATTGTGGCACTACTGTCACATTCCGTATAGAGACATATGAACTATTGTGGCACTACTGTCACATTCCGTATAGAGACATATGAACTATTGTGGCACTACTGTCACATTCCGTATAGAGACATATGAACTATTGTGGCACTACTGTCACATTCCGTATAGAGACATATGAACTATTGTGGCACTACTGTCACATTCCGTATAGAGACATATGAACTATTGTGGCACTACTGTCACATTCCGTATAGAGACATATGAACTATTGTGGCACTACTGTCACATTCCGTATAGAGACATATGAACTATTGTGGCACTACTGTCACATTCCGTATAGAGACATATGAACTATTGTGGCACTACTGTCACATTCCGTATAGAGACATATGAACTATTGTGGCACTACTGTCACATTCCGTATAGAGACATATGAACTATTGTGGCACTACTGTCACATTCCGTATAGAGACATATGAACTATTGTGGCACTACTGTCACATTCCGTATAGAGACATATGAACTATTGTGGCACTACTGTCACATTCCGTATAGAGACATATGAACTATTGTGGCACTACTGTCACATTCCGTATAGAGACATATGAACTATTGTGGCACTACTGTCACATTCCGTATAGAGACATATGAACTATTGTGGCACTACTGTCACATTCCGTATAGAGACATATGAACTATTGTGGCACTACTGTCACATTCCGTATAGAGACATATGAACTATTGTGGCACTACTGTCACATTCCGTATAGAGACATATGAACTATTGTGGCACTACTGTCACATTCCGTATAGAGACATATGAACTATTGTGGCACTACTGTCACATTCCGTATAGAGACATATGAACTATTGTGGCACTACTGTCACATTCCGTATAGAGACATATGAACTATTGTGGCACTACTGTCACATTCCGTATAGAGACATATGAACTATTGTGGCACTACTGTCACATTCCGTATAGAGACATATGAACTATTGTGGCACTACTGTCACATTCCGTATAGAGACATATGAACTATTGTGGCACTACTGTCACATTCCGTATAGAGACATATGAACTATTGTGGCACTACTGTCACATTCCGAATAGAGACATATGAACTATTGTGGCACTACTGTCACATTCCGTATAGAGACATATGAACTATTGTTTTTGAGAATACCCCAATCAGTTGATCGATAGGCGGCTGTTGACTGGATTGTAAAATCTTTTGTTTATGAACAAATGACAGAAGCTGTTTAGTACTTTGATATAGAATAGAAAACAACCGGTTAACGGAAAAGGAGATCCAAAAAGTGGGCATATCCAGTGAATAATTAGTCTAGGTCTTATATCCTAAAACGTGTTTAAGAAAGGTTTAAGTGTTTAATTTTAAGTTGATTAACCCCAAGACGTACACAATTTATGGTGTGCCGATTTTCACCGTCTATATAACACATCCTAAGTTCTGCATGGGGAGAGCTGGTTTTGATACCTTGAGGAATGTTTTCAGGGGAGGGGGGAGATGGCATGATAAAAGGTCCAGTTAATTAATTATATGTTTACTTTCTTGTTTGTAGTCGGTTTGGTCTTGTCAGCGATTTTGATTTATGAGCAGAAAATATATTCTGGCACCAGAAATATTCAGGAGGAAACACAATACAAATCTGGATCGTTTATTGTAATTGTTGTATCCATAGTAATGTTTGGCCTGTCCACTCTTGTGTGTGGTAAGGAACTGCTGGACTTAAAGAAGACATTCATTTTACCGATATTATTCGGCTTAATTTACTTCACAAGAAAACTGTTTGATGCTGTAGAGGAAGATCGCCGCCGGTACATAATACTGTGGTCACTACATCTCGTGGTACTGACTTTGTTTAGCGTTGGATTATTCAGCTGTTCGTGGTTCACTGTCACCAGTACAGGAGACAACAATGTGACAGTAACGATGGGGATGTGGTTCCAATGTCGGGAACAGTACACTCTAATGTGCTGTAGTAGTATCAACAACTTCTACACAGAAACACCAGGTAAGGTGGTTAAGTTACACAGACACACCAGGTAAGGTTGTTAAGTTACACAGACACACCAGGTAATAAGGTGGTTACTACTACAGACATACCAGGTAAGGTGGTTACTACTACTACAGACATACCAGGTAAGGTGGTTACTACTACAGACATTCCAGGTAAGGTGGTTACTACTACAGACATACTGGATAAGGTGGTTACTACTACATACATACCAGGTAAGGTGGTTATTACTACAGACATACCAGGTAAGGTGGTTACTACTACAGACATACCAGGTAAGGTGGTTAGGCCATAATAAATTAATTGCTAGATTCTCATCCAAATTCTTTTCAAAATTGGGGCGGGGGGGCGAATTTTATTTTTTATTTTTTATTTTTCCTAAAATTTGAAATGGTTGCAAATGTGTTAAAATAGTGCAATAATTTGAATAAAGGCGCATGTTCAGTGTACATTTATCTTTATTTTTTGTTAATAACAACTTTGAGTATGCAGTATACACATTGAACACCATTTCACTGTTCAGTCCACATATATATCTGTACTAACTTTTGGTATGAATACACACCACATTACTTTTTCACATATCGTCCTCTTTTAATTACAGTGACCTTGTCATTGTTGCTTTAGAAAATCCCGACATTAAAATTGTAAATGCGTCGGATTTCGCAATGGCAGTTGCCGACTGCTCTTCTGTATCAGCATCAATATTAAATTCTAAATAAGCTCCGAGGTACGACACCACTTCCCCCACCGTACATGCGCCATCACACTGGGTCAGTTCCACTTTCGATTTACCGGCCGACACAACGGCCCTGTTACCACACTCGACGGGCGCAGATTTGTCAATTGTTCCTTCGGCTAATTCATGAAAGACTTGCATTAATGTTTTAGTATCGGCTACTGAACACCCATACCAATCTTTAAGAACGGCAAGTTGCCGTTTCAGCTTTAGAATTACAAAAACCATACTTGCAGACGACGAGTTTTCTACAACCGGAAATTGATAATATAAAACTAATTTTTGAAGCGGAAAACGGAAAAAAAATCCGGATATCGTATTTTCGGGTTTTTTTTCGCAAATAAAAAAAAATTGGGGCGGGGCCTCAAAGAGGGGGCGGGCGGGGATGAGAATCTAGCAAATAATTTATTATGGCCTTACTACTACACAGACATACCATGTAAGATGGTTACTTCTACAGACATACCAGGTAAGGTGGTTACTACTACACAGATATACCAGGTAAGGTGGTTACTACTACACAGATATACCAGGTAAGGTGGTTACTACTACAGACATACCGGTTAAGGTGGTTACTACTCAGACATACCAGGTAAGGTGGTTACTACTTCAGACATACCGGGTAAGGTGGTTATTACTACAGACAAACCAGGTAAGGTGGTTACTACTACAGAAATACCAGGTAAGGTGGTTACTACTACAGACATACCGGGTAAGGTGGTTATTACTACAGACATACCGGGTAAGGTGGTTATTACTACAGACATACCAGGTAAGGTGGTTACTACTACAGACATACC